TGTGAAGGCAAACTTTTCTCTATCTTTTTCTTGTAATGGTATAGTGAAGAAACAATCTTTCAGATCAATAACTATAAGAGGCCATCCCTTTGGTAACAGGGAGGGCAGAGGAATTCCAGATTGCAGAGGGCCCATAGGTTGAATAACCTTGTTGATAGCTCTAAGATCTGCCACCATTCTCCATTTACCAGATTTTTTCTTAACAACAAATACAGGAGAGTTCCAAGGGCTGGTAGATTCTTCTATATGTCCAGCATCTAATTGCTCTTGTACCAGCTGTTCTAAAGCCTGTAAATTTTCCTCAGCTAAAGGCCACTGTTTAGTCCATATTGGTTTCTCAGTCAACCATTGTAGAGGCATGGCTGTTGGTACCTCTGAAGGGCCATCAATGTGTTGTGTTCTTGTATAGCTCTAATGGCTGGTTTCCGCCATCTGTAATATCTTGTAATATTGTCCTCAGAAATATAGGCTCTGGAAGCAGCAGGAATGTTAATTTGGGTATTCCATTGCTGCAATAGGTCACGGCCCCATAAATTCACTGCAATATTTGCTACATATGGCCTTAGTTTTCCTATATGTCCGTCTGGACCTATACAATTGACCCATCTTGTGCTTTGTCTTACTCGAGATAGGGTTCCAATTCCTAAGAACTGAATATCTACCTCCTGAAGAGGCCAATGCGGATGCCAAGACTCTGGAGTAATGATACTTACATCCGCACCTGTGTCTAGTAAGCCAGTAATAAGTTTGCCATTTACACACACTCTTAGCTGTGGTCTTTGTTCATTTATAGAAGTCTGCCAGAATATTCGTTTACTTTGTCCTCTTAGATTTCTTGATTCATTCACCACATTTAACTCATCCTTCAGGCTGTTATTGCTTTTAACAGCAGGCATGGGGCATTCTAATTTCCCTGCAGAGGCATGTTCTCTGCAGTGATCGGAAATGACTGGACCACATTTGCCATGGGGGCCTTTGAGAGGCCCCCTATTGAGTTTCCTGATGGCAACGGGTTGCCCTGTTTATCTCTTGTTGACCTACACTCATTCGTCCAATGCCTGCCCTTTCCACATCTCCTACATAAACCTGAAGGCTGAGTCCTCCTATTCCTGTTATTCCTCGAAGAGGCATTATTCCTGGAATTCCATTGTCTGCAGTCCCTTTTCATGTGTCCCATTTTGCCACAATGAAAGCATTTTGTAATCTGATGTCTCCTTTTACCTTTGGAAATTGCTTCTTGTACCCATGTTTCATTGCCATAATCAAATGTATCAACATTCATTGTATGTAAAACCCATTCATCCAAAGGCGCTGATCTGAGCTTTAAAGGCCCCAGGATCCTTTTGCATTCTACATTGGCATTCTCATATGCCAAAGACTCAATTACTATATTTCTTGCTTCTGGATCAGGTATCCCTATTTGTACAGCCTTAGTTAGTCATTGCAAAAAGTCACTAAAGGGTTCTCTCTGACCCTGTTTGACCCTGACATACGATTCTACTCTCTGACCTGAGTCTTGAACCCTGTCCCAGGCCCTTAGAGCTGCTGTAGCACATATGGATAAAATGTTTTCATCATAAAGAGCTTGTTCCTGAGGATCAGAGTAAGGTCCTTCCCCTAGAATTTGATCTAGAGAAACCTCAATTCCTTTCACTGATTCTTGTTGTTGTAAAAGTCTGGCCTCTTGTTTGAATAGGCATTTGAAATGCCATAAAGGTCCGTTCTCGAGGACAGCTGATGTGAGCTGGTTCCAATCTTGAGGGGTGGCCCTGTTGCTCAGAGCCCAGGATTTTAACATCTCCCTAACAAAGGATGAATGTAGTCCATAATTCACAATTGCTTGTTTAAATTCTTTCAGATCATTCATACATATAGGCTCCCATGTATGTTCTTTAATGACCTTAGGGGTTTTGGAGCCAGTTATCTTTTCTGATGTTATTACTGGAAAGGCAGGTATATCTCTATGTAGACTGAATGTTTTTTGAGGTGAAGGTTGCCTTTCTACCTTTTGCTCCTGTTCATCAGAGTCTATGATTTCCTCAATCTTATTAAATCTGCTCACCATTGCCTTCTGTAAGTCCTGAATCTCCTGTCCAGTATTATGCTCCAAAGCCTTCATTAACGATTCTAAGGCATGGAGCTTGTCCGTCAGAGACACTATTTCCTCCTTGGACACAATCGCCTTCATTGATAATTCCAAGGCATGGAGCTTGTCCGTTAGAGATACCATATCCTCCTTGGACATAATCCTCATGGCATGTACTGTGCCTTCTTGTATGGAAATCCTGTCAATTAATCTATCATACCCTTTTGATAAAGTCCGATTTTCACATTCAATGGTTATAATCCTCTCAGCTAATGTTTCAGCACTTACAGTCATGGACTGGAGGTTATGAGTCATTTTGGTTGTCCCCTCCTCCAGAGCAGTGAAGCTCCCTTCTAAAGAAGCAATATCAGACTGTACCTTCTTGATATTTTGATCAGTCGACCGAGTCATATCAAACAAAGATCTAGTCTCCTCCTTGAGAACTCCAAACTCTGATCTAGTCTCCTGCTTGAAAACTCCAAACTCTGATCTAGTCTCCTCCTTGAAATCTCCAAACTCTGATCTAGTTTCTTCCTTGAAATCTCCAAACTCTTTTTTGAGGAGGTTGGTATCAGTCTGAATTGTTCTTAAGGTTTTAATCTCTGTCCTCAGCATTGTAGATTCAGTCTGTAAGGACTGTATCTTTCTTATAAAATAGCCAAACACCAGAAAAGCAACAGATCCCAGGAATAACAAAGTAAGAGGAATATCTGAGACATCCTTCAGAATATCCTCCATAGCACAATTAAAAAAACCATTGAACTTTTGGATAGTAATATTTTCTGACATTTTCAATCAAAGGAAATTGTACTTGTATGTATGTATGTATGTATGTATTTTCAACCGAAAAGAAAAATCTTACCTGTAATCACCGTTGCCTGCCAGTAGGAGGTGGGGCGCACCTGAATCCACATGGCAGTGGTGTTGATTCAGGAAGTAAACTCTAGAATATATACACTCAAATCCAGAGGTTAAATCCACAGATCACAAAAGGTCAGAGAGCTTCTAGTGGCCAATAAATAAGGCAATAAACAAGGCCCTGCTGCTCTGTTCAACCCGATGCAGAGGGTCGTGACACAGCCACTGCGCTGTTGCTAAAGAGGCCTAGTGCTTTGGGCCCCATGTCCCTGTGCTGGGATTAAGGGTCAAGCTGCTTGCAGCACTCCTAATCAGTTATGGCAGATGGCAGGGGTTTCAAACAGCTTGCTGGAACTTCAAAGGGAGCTTGTGCTGTGAGCTCTTTGACTCACGTTGCAAGGAAAAATTTAAAAATCCGTGCTGAACAGGGCAAAGTAAGCTGGCAGAGACTGTCCGGACCTGTGTATCCTGGGAGGCCGAGCTGGGGGGGGGGGGGTGGGGCGGTTCTTAAACCAAACGTTGGGCGTCAATTATCAGCGAATCAATTCCACACCAGTTATGTTTTAAGGGGTTATTTATTTTGGGGATTAAAACTTACATACACCATAAACCGTCAGGAAGGGAGCCTAGTCGCTGGAGCAGGAGCCGGGAGCAGGAGCTGGGAGCAGGAGCCGGGACCAAGCACTGGAACCAAGAGCTGGTACCAAGAGGGCCTGATCCGGATCTGCTTCTCTTTTTGAAAGAGAAATATACCACACCCCAGTGGGCTGGTATTTCAGCAGCTATTGACTGATGGAGCGGAAGTCGCTCCCCGCTGCACTGTGGGCTTGTATTTCAGCGACTATTGGTTGAGGCAGCGGAAGCTACTCCCACAACACTCTCTTTGGCTTTCGGCTCCACTTCCGGCTCCTGGACTCCTTTCCTGTTTGCGTGGAGGGGCTGCTGTCTGCGGCGGTAATCTGTAAGGTTTTTCCCCTTTGAATAAATAACCATTCTATTAATCATAATTCCAAACTGGTGTGGGATTGTCTGTGACTTACGCCTTCACCTTCCTTTTTTTCTCCCCACTTTGTTTCTGAGATGGGTCATCTCACTGAACCTAGAACCCCCAGATCGCCTTGTGTGGATGTTACAATTCTCCTAATGCAGTGGTCTCTGCCAATACCAAGGCTACAAGAATGTTGATCTTCAGAGGCAAGATGAAAGTCCAGTTCAACATGCTTCAGCAGCCAGCAGTGGTTCAAACTTCAAGAGTAACCTTGAATAGTGTGTTTTTGGCATACTTAGGCACAGCACAATTTGGAAAAAAGTTTTCTGGTGATAATAAACTAATTTCATGAGCACAGCAAAGCTTAAGACATGATTACATAATTCTTGAACAGTATAGTGATATCTTCCATAAAGATTGGTTCTATAGATTAATTGAGGAAACAGGCTCAAGATAAACAAGCCCAAGATAAGGGTCTAGGGCAACCAGTGTGGCCTGGTCATATAGAGACCACAGAGGTCACTAGACTATAAAAGACATCCGTTTCTAGTCTTCTGAGCAGAAAACTAGTTATATATATCTTACTTTGAAGAGACAATGCTGTGTAGTTAACACTTCTGGATTCCCTCATGCTTATCTGTGAGCACAAGGACCTACATGTGTCCTATATCCCAGCATAATACTTGTTGGAAGATATCAATTGCATCAATGTTGGTCTATGTTCATTTAAGATTATGTTAGAATCAGGAAAATGCATATTTATTGTCATCTTCTTTTACATCTTTTGCATGTGTTTGTTTATGTGATATATGTTTGGGTGTGTACATTTATGTATACAGGTGCATGCGTGGAAGCAGAGGTTGGTATGTTCTTCAGTCATTCCCCACATTATTTGCAGAGGCAGAGTCACTGGCTGATCCCAGAACTCATCAATTCAGCTAATCTAGCAAGACAGCGTGCCCCAGAGATCCTGTGTCCATCTCTAGTATGTTGAGATGATAGGTGGGTCTCTACTCATGCCTGACCTTTATGTGGGTTCTGGGGATCATCTTTTTCTTTGTTTTTCAGCACTACTGGGACTGAAACCCAGGACCTTGCCCATGTGAGGTAAGCACTCTACCATCAAGCTTTATTCATAGCTCCTTATTGTTAGCCTCCGCACTTTTCTGTGAATACCCAGATCTCGAAACAGGCACGTGCTTTCCTGAACTCGAGTCCATGAGAATGGACGTGCTTTCCTGAACTCGAGTCCATGAGAATGGACGACTGTCCTAAGGGTTTAAACACACAGACACAAAGAGACCTGCTCATTCACCAAAGAGCAAATGGCAACTTTATTAAACTCAAATCGGGTATTTATATTAGTGGACAACGGGGGCAAAAGGGCACGGTCCCCTCCCATCAGGAGCAGTAGAAGAAGATTACAGGTGCCCGGCACCTCAGGAAGAATCAGCTGCGGGAGGCAGGCATGGCAGGCGTATAGGGCCTGCAGCTGGAACCTTGCTCACAGGTGGAATTACCATAACAAAAGAGAGCCAAGTTCTTTCTAAGCTATACCCTCAAGCCAGTGCTAGTGCAGAATCTCCAGGGAGCCAGAGGTCAAATGGTCCTGTGAATCGCCAGGAAGAAAAGGGAAAAAGACCTGGGTACCTACACCTTATCTTTTTTTTTTTTTTTTCGGAAAATGACAAACTGGGCAATGTTGAAAGAATGCAGTTTGTAAACCACACACACATAACATAGAGCAAGAGGGCTGAGTGGACTTGTACTGTTAAGAGAGTCTGGGTGACTTCCTAAGGACTAGATTTTTCTGGTAGTACAGAAGCACTGGTTTCTAAGCATGCTTATCTTCATCTTGAAGTTAACATAGAGATTAAAGAGTAGGGATGCTTGGCTTCCATGTCCCCAAGCTGGAATTCATTGTCATTTATTGCCTGGGTAGCAATTCACCTTATTGTCCGTTCTGATCAACTTTAGCCTGAAGCAGTTATGGTTCCCTGTAAACAGGAATTTCTGTTCTGCCAAGTATGGGAGTCATTCAGTCCCAAAGAAACACACAGAGGCTTATATTAATTACAAACTGTTTGGCCTATTAGCTCAGACTTATTATTAACTACCTATTACAACTTAAATTAACTCATGATTATTGTCTATGTTTAGTCATGTGGTTTAATACCTTTTCTAAATAAGGCATTCTCATCTTACTTCCTCTGCATCTTGCTGGTGACTGCATCTCTGCCTTTTCTCTTCCCAGAATTCTCCTGGTCTTGTTGCTCCACCTATATTTCCAGTTTAATATTTATTTTATTAACTTTACTCTTTTTTTTGTTTTTGTTTTTCAAGACAGGGTTTCTCTATAGCTTTGGAGCCTGTCCTGGAACTAGCTCTTGTAGACCAGGCTGGCCTCAAACTCACAGAGATCCACCTGCCTCTGCCTCCCAAGTGCTGGGATTAAAGACATGCACCACCACTGCCTGGTTCTTTACTCTTTTAATATATGACTGTCTGTACTCTTTTATAACTGCCTATACTTTTTCCTCTCTCTATCCCAAGCCTACGTAGATTTATCCAACGCTGTGACCCATTCAGAGGTCTTTTTCATCTGAATCTGTCTTTAGTGTGTGCATATATGTAATCATTTCAACGTGGCTAGGACCAACTCCATGGCCCTGCCTGCTGACTCCACCCAGTCCAACATGGTGAAAGCCATGCACACTGCCCCAGCTCCAGAGTCACAGCTGGTCTATGTAACCATTAAGCAGTTTTCAACATGCTGCTCATAGACTTCATTTAAGTGCTGGCCTCATGAAAGAGCTAGAGTTGTTCTTACAACTAGTATGAACCAGAAAACCCTACCCTAAAGAAGTCATGCAGCCTTTGCTGCCAATGCTGAGTCAGGAAGACCTCTCTTAAAGGAGCCACAGAGCCCCTGCTTGCTGCCAGCATACAGAGCCCATCTGAAAGAAATGTGGCTACCAAGAAGCTGTGCTAAACTTTTTTCTTTTATGTCTAGAATTATTTTTCTAGCTCTCTTAGGTTTTATGTGGATGTAGTCAGCCTACATTGGCATGCTATTTTCTAGGTAGAGGTTGCTCATTTGTTTCCTAGCTACCCAGACCCCAAATAACCACACAGAAACTATATTAATTACAATGCTTGACCAATAGCTTAGGCTTCTTATTAACTAACTCTTACATCTTAAATTAACCCATTTCTATTATTTTGTATTTTACCGTGTGTCTCATGGTTTACTGGTAAGATTCTGGGGTTGGCAGTTGGTGTCTTTCTCTGTCAGTGGCTGTATGGCGTCTCCCTGACTCCGTCTTCTTTTCTCCTCCATCTGCTTGGAATTCCTGCCTTGTTCTATTCTGCCCAGCCATAGGCAAAAATAGCTTCTTTATTAACCAATGGTAATAAAACATATTCACATCATACATAGAGGAATCCCACATTAGAACCTCTTCTCCAAAGTAACATATCTTTTGACTTAAACTTTGAACTCAAAGCATATTAAAAATATATAGGTTGGATTAATCCAGCAACACTTATAATCAAATGTTTTTTAGCAGCTGTTGCTCCTTCCTCAGCAGTCAAACAATTCAAAGACAACACAATAACATACAGTATCCAGATTATCTGTGTATTTCCTATCTCTATTTTTTTTAAAAAAAACTCTATTTCTTTTATTTTTATTTTTAATTTTTGGTATTTTGAGATAGGGTTTCTCTGTGTATCTTTGGCTATCCTGGATCTCACTCTATAGACAGGCTAGCCTTGAACTCGCAGAGATTCACCTGCTTCTGCCTTTCAAATGCTAGGATTAAAGTCATACACCACCAATGCCCAGCTACTTTCTTTCTTTTTTTGGACTTTATCTTTTTTCTATTCTCTCCCAAGCCTATGTATATTTTAAATCACACTGTAAACTATTTAGAAGCGTTTTTCAATCTGTATCTGTCTTTACTGTATATATCTATCGTTTTCTGAGTACATGAGTCTTTAATCTGCTAAGCAGTGAGGAAAGGATTAAAGCCACAGCTTTGGTGACTGTCTCTGCCCTATTCCTTGGCTTTCTGAGAGTCTAGTTTCATGGCAGAGGTACTGGCAGGAGCCATGCTTATTGCCACAACTCTGCAGTTTCTAGGTTTGGTTCATGCCACCACCAAGAAGCATGCCACCAGCTGCTTATAATCACCTATTAAGTGTTTGGTGGCAGGGCCTCTTAAAAGAGCTGCCATGCAGTTTTTGCTTCTAACACTGAATCAGGAGGCCTTTCTTAAAGGAGCTGTGCCTCTGCTTTCTGCCAGCAAACAGAGTCTACTTGAGTAAAGATGGTTACCAAGAAACTGTGCTTGAATCTGTTTTTTTTGGGTGTGTGTGTGTCTAGAATCTCTTCCCAAACTCTCTTATGTTTTATGTACATGTAGTTGCCAATCATTGGGCAGTAGCCTGAGAAGGGGGTTCAGGGAAAACCAGTCATCCATGGTGGAGAGAAAGAGATAGGTAGATAGATAGATAGATAGATAGATAGATAGATAGATAGATAGATAAATAGATAAATAGACAAACAGATAGAGTTGTCTGACAAACACATAGTGGATTGTTTGGAAAAAGCATGTGTGGCAGGGGGTTTCCTGAAGGAAGAACCATCCAGTGTGGAGCTCAGATGCTTCTGGAGTTTGGGTGGCAGCTGGAGACTCTTTCAAAGAGGTTACAACAGGAAGATCCTCAACTTTTCCCCAACCTTTGGGAAAAAAGCGAAGAAAGCCTGGGCAGGTGGGGCTGGAACCCCACGTGCATCGCTGGTGGGATTCCCATGTGCAGCTCTAGCCTGTGCTAGTAGCTAAAAAGCCTCAGGCAAATGTGTGTGTGTGTGTGTGTGTGTGTGTGTGTGTGTGTGTGTGTGAATTCATACCCCAAACACTGGGTGCCAAATGTAGATGAAAATTTCTGTCCCTGTGGTCCTGCACCATTCAGTCCTAAAGAAGCACACAGAAACTTACATTAATTATAACTGTTTGGACTAATAGCTCAGGCTTATTATTAACTAGTTCTTACAAGTTAAATTAACCCATAATTCTTGTCAATGCTTAGCTATGTGGCTTGGTACCTTTTCTCAACAAGGCATTCTCATCTAGTTTCCTCTGCATCTTGCTTGTGACTGGCTTTCCTCTTCCCAAAATTCTCCTAGTCTTGTTTCCCCACCTATAGTTCCTGCCTGACTACTGACCAATCAGTATTTTATTAAATCAATATGAGTGACAAATCTTTACAGGGTACAATAGCATTATCCCACAGCGGTTCTCAAGCTAGAAGAGTGGTCTCCTAGCTTTACAAGAGGGCCTCTTCATTGCTGTTAGTTCTGTCTGATTAGCAAGGGGTAAGATATGCCACATAAGGAGGTAAGGAGGCAGCAAGACTACAGGGAAGAAACTTGGCCATAATTCAGAGAAAGGAGAAGTAAAATTTCTATCCCTCCCTTCCTTCCTCCCTCCCTTCCTCCCTTCCTTCCTTCCTTTCTTCGTTTCTTTGTTTCTTTTCTGGTGCCACTTCATTAAGGTACACCTAAAACTCCTGCCTGGTGACTCAGCTGATGAGGAGAAGGGGACTTCCAACCAATCCAATTCAGCATCATGGCCTCATCATGTGTGATAGAGTGGCAGGCTGGCTACTTGGCGAGCTTGGCGTTGGTGCTTCTGTGGTGCATGCCCATGGCAGGTAGGATATGGATGGCATGGGAAGGAAGGGGAGGAGCTGCTGGAGCTCTGACTATCCCTACTGGTCTTCTAGGGTCCCACTTACTGCGGTTATAGCCTGCCAGGGTGATGAGAGCTCTGCAAAGTGTAGATTTGCGGACGGATTCTGCAGATGTGCATTTAAGATCTATAGTATGCAGTTTGCCTTGATTGCATCCCTTTGGGGGCCTTACTCATCTATCTATGATGTGGGAACTAGGGCCAGAGTTGGAGAAAAATGCTAGATTTTTCTTATCAAGGCATCTTTACCAAAGTTTTTGCAGAGGCAGGGAGGGGCAGTTTTCATTTCTTGGTAGCTTTCTAAATGTCCTAGTTCTGTAGTTTTGGAATCTAAGATAAGGGTCTGTCTGGTTCAGCTCTAGGATAATTTCCTGTTCTGTCATCATGACACAGAGAGGTCTCGCTGCTGGCTCCCATAGTGGCTCTAGTCAATGAATCTAATCCCATTTAGAGGGTTTCAATCTCATGCCCCAATTATCTCACAAAGTCCTTATTTCTAAATGCTGGGGATTCAGCCCCAACATATAAATTTTTGGGGATGAAGAATTCTGCACATGGCATATCACCAAGCATGTTCATGGATAGAAAAATACAGCATCCTTAACATGACAATATACCCAAATTGATCTGTGGGTTTGGTATGATTCCTATCAGAACCCTAGCAGATTTCTTTGTAGAAATTGGTAGGTTGGGACTGGTCAGATGGTTTTTCAGTTTAAGGTGCTTGCCACCAAACCTGATGACCTATCTTTGCTCCCTGGAGCCCACATGATTTAAGGAGAGAACTTACTTCCACAAATGTTCTCTGACTTTTACATAGGTACTGTGGTGTACACGTGCACACACCCAATAAATGTAATTTTTCAATTAAAAATTAATTGGTTGATTCTAAAATGTACATGGACCCCTAATAGTCAAAATGGTTAAAAAAGAAAGAATAGGGCTGAAGGATCTATTTGAGGTAACAAGAGGCTGAAGGTAAGAACTATTCTGAGTCCCATCCCCGCCCCCAAATCCCCAAGGGCTATTCATTCTATCCCAGTGACTGGGTACGAAGAGCCTCCTATAACTGAATTTTCTTTTTGCCATAGGTGGGCTGGACGTGGATATGGCAGAAATGACACAAATGGTATTCCTACATGACAATGTCACCATAACCTGCAAAATCCGTGGTTCCCCACGACTTGACATTGACACTGTAGGAATCATCTGGTTTGTGAAGAATGAGCTGAATAAATCTGAGGTCAAGGTATTTGAGTTTTATGGAAATCACCTAGAGTCATTCCGACCTGGAGCCACGGTGCCACTGTTGGGGCTGGAGTCAGGAGATGCCTCACTCCATCTGCCTGAGGTCCAGCTGTGGGAAGCAGGAGAATACCGATGCATGCTGGTAGTCACTCCTGACAAAGCAGAGGGAAAGACCATGCTAGAAGTTGTGGGTGAGTACTCAATGGAAGTGCCCTGTGTTTCTGATGGTGCTGGGGTTAATGGTAGACATTTGGATGGCCAAGCAGAGGAGGGTTAGAACACAGGTGAAAGAGTAAAGGGGTCATGGTTTTAATTTCTGTCCATGGCAACTTATGTCAACAGGCAAATGTTGAAGAGGATGAGGAAGGAGGATCTTGAATTTGAGGTTACCCGCGGCTACACTTTTATGTGGGGCTGTACATAGCTTGGTTGTAAAGTGTTTGCTAGGATCTGGCTTAAACCCCCACTATTGCCCCAATTAAAGAAAACTAAAACAGTTTGACAACTGTTATGGGGGAGAGACCAAAAGACCACTCAGCATGACCAAAGTTCAAATTGAGAGTCTGTATTAAGCTGACCAGAAACTGCCTAGAGAGAAACAATTCTCACACAGTAGCCTCAAATGCATTTTACAGGGAGTTTTTAAAGCAAAGAACACAGAAAATTACATCCTTGTTCACAGTTGCAGGGAAGCAAGCAAGCAATTTAACAGAAGCCGAGAACATGCAGTTAACTGGGGCATTTCTACTCCAAGTTTCTAGAATAGGGCTGGGTACTTTTCCACAGGGCTTTTCACAGCAGGGAGTAGTAAAAGTGGGGGGCGGGAAGAGATCAGTTTCAGATTAAACCAAAGCTGAGACAAGATGGAGGAACTTTTGCCCTGTTACATTCATCATTGATCTTATTGAATGAATCAAATCATGGGCTCATCTTGCTCTGAAGAGATAAAGTTGGTTCTAAGGACCATTAATTTGACTGAATTAATTTTTTTTTGTTTTTCATAATTGGCCAGACAATTTAAGATGCGGGAGCCCACCATTAATCCAATCAGAAGAAGAACCAAAGTCCTCACCAGTGCTGATAGCAGAGCTTAGCTTGGGGGACCAAGAGAACAGAGACTGTTACCAATTCTCTGATGATGCATCTCTCTCTCTCTCTCTCTCTCTCTCTCTCTCTCTCTTCCTTTCTCAACCATGGCAAAATTTTCTCTGAGTAATCTTGACCAATTAGTGTAGAAACAACAGGTTTATCCCCAAACTGTACCTAGTCCCTCTTGTCTCATGAGAAGTTAATCTAAGCCCCTGGATTTTGTAGGACTGTTTTCATAAGGGAATCTATTTCTCTGATTCAGAAATGGAAAATTTTAACATCTCTAGGTTCTACACAACCTGTCTGCTTAGTTCATCCAAGTTTCTATACCCATGATAAAGGCTGATAGATCTGTGGCTGTTGAGCCAGCTGTCCCTGCTCCCATTAGGAGTGTGATAAGGATGGATACAACTTTTTTTCTCTTTCCATCATAGTCCAGGGTTCCTATTAAAATGTATTCTCCCATCTTCCCCATTATATACTTTTACCTGGAACAGATTGTGTACTAAAACACATAAAAGGGTTTCTCAGTCTGGAAAGGATCTGAAGAGACGCATTTAGTCAAACAATTAGTACATGCCCACTAAGTAGTCCCAGGGGCTGGGTAATATTGCTGTTGTAAAAATGAGTTAAACCATAGGATAGAACAGCAGGTGTCAGAATAAGGGGAAGTATGTTGTTTAAAGGTTATTAGACAAGCTCTAGTCCTTTATAAGTCCTCTAATATTAATTTGGGCTGTCCCCTTTCACGGTGAGTTTTGTCAGTCAGTGGGCTGGCTGTCTCTGGTTAGTTCTTATCCATATATAGTACAAAGGCAATACTAAATATAAACAGTAATCCTGGCCAGTTTATGACTGGGAATAATCAGCTAAGTGGTAATTCTTGCCAAAAGTGAAAAATAGGGTTGGGGATTGTCTTAGTCAGTGTTCTATTGCTGTGAGGAGACACAATGACCAAGGCAACTTTGATAAAAGAAAACATTTAACAGCGGCTTCTTTGTAGTGTCAAAGGTTAGCCCCTTATCATTATGGCAGGGCACATGGTGGTATGCATGGCCCTGGACCAGTAGCTGACAGCATCCTGATCCACAGACAGAGAAAGAGAGAGATACTAGACTTGGCATGGGCTTTTGAAACCTTGAAGTGACACACTTTCTCCAACAAGGCCATGACTCCTACTATTCTTTAATCCTTTCATACATAGTGCCACTCCCTGAGCATTGAAATATATGAGCCTGTGGGGGTAATTCTTATTTAAAACACCACACCCCACTTCCTGGCCCCCATAGACTTGTTACCATATCATAATTTCAAATTGTATTCAGTTCAGCCTCTAAAGTCCCCATTGTATCCAGACTGCTTCAGATTCAGGCTTCATCTTTATGGAATGGTTTCTTTGAGTCTCCGTGAAGGAAAACCCCTGACACATGCCTGGCCACAGTGGCTTTCCTTAGCCACAAAGGTGGATTCTACCACCCCTTTCTTCTATCCTTAACTCAAAAGCAATGAATCTTGAGGCTGAAGCAGCTGTTCTGGAGCTTGTTGGGGCTGGAACTTTGTCCCTTGCTAAATTACATTTGCATCCCCTTTATGTTATTTAAAGTTTCCTTCACTACTTAAGATTTTCCTCAATTTCTTTCCACAACTGGAAGCTTAACTAGGTACAATCTTGCCCTGAGGTTACCACGCCCTTTATTCTGTTTAGCAGCAGGCTTTTCTTTAAACTTCTTATCTCCTTGAGCACTGAAGCCTCTGTCTTCTACATTATGCTTCCTGGTACTCCTTTTCTAGTCAAACTGTACTTTTTGCATTTTTTCTTACCCTACTTGCCAATTTTCATGGTAGATCTGTATAAAAGTGACCACCAATTACCATGGGACAGTCAATACTAGGCTGTCTTGAAATCTCTTCTGCCAAAGCCGTTAATCCAAAAATGCTTCAATTTAGACTCAGGCACATTTTTTAGAACAAGGGCAAAAAAAAATCCACATTATTTCCCAAAATATCACAAGACTTGTCTCTAGGCCATATACTAATATTTTTCCCTTCTGGAACTTTTTGAGCTAGCCCCCCACAGTTCAAATCACCCTCAACACTGTCTTCCATGTTCCTACAAGGATGAATGATTAAGAGCCCTGCTCAAAGTGTCCAACACCCCTTTTAGCTTCCAGGGTTATTGGGTATCATTTAATCTGTATGGGGGAAGCAGAACTGGTTAGTTGAACAATTACAAGCATTTGCTATTAGGCCATTCCTAGGGGGTTGGTTTCTGCCCATACCCTGGGAATCACTGTTGTAAACCTGAGAGACAGTCTAATTGTATCTTTTGATTGCAGACAGAAATTCCAGCTAGTCCTGACAGAGGACACGATACAAACCTTTTGCTGGGTATCTTTAAGTTAACTGTGTCTCATCATCAGAGGAAGTAATAGAAGCTTTCAGTTTATGCAAAAGGTCTCATCCAAAGAGGGAAGAGGAGCAAGCAGCCATGACCAAGAATGAGTTGGTTACTGTCCCCTTTCCTAGGTTGATGGAATGAGTGGTGTTTAGGAATAGTAAGCCATTTTTCCTCTCACCACCTAGTACTGCAATCCTTTGTCTGTCAGTTGGCCTAGGGGGTTCACAAAAACTGAATATGTTGTCCCAGTGCCTACTAAGAAGTCCATCATTTTTTCCCTAACTTTAAGTGTTACTCTAGGAGGCTTATAGTGTAGGAGACTGGACCCTGTCCCTTTTCTAACTTTAGTACTTACAGGACCATTTTCTTCCATAGTGCACTCATCTTTCCAATGGCCTTTTTCCTTACAGTAAACACATAGATCTTTCTCTGACAGTAGCTTACTTGTCTCTTGGTCCCCTTCTGGTCTCTTGTGCCAGACTGTTTCATTATTTAGGTTTTCTTCTAAGGCTGCCACTATGACCTTGGTAAGTTTCTTATCCTTCTGACCCTTAATTAGTTCTCTGTTTTTAAAAGCCTTTTGAGTGACCTCAAACAACTGGAACCTATACCTGCAAATCTGCCCAACTCTTGTGACTTCTTTCTTTTATTTGGGGCCACCTTAGCGACAAAGACAATGTTGAATGCCTGCCTGTTCTCCAGTGCTTTTGGGTCTATGGACACAGAGGTATGATGAACCTCTAGGAGGTGCTCTGGGCATGCAGTGGGATACTGATGTCTCCTGAAAGACCTCTCTTGCCTTTGACAGGTTTGTGTGCTTCCATATTGCAGTTCAGTGCCTAACCAGGAAAGACTAGCAGTAGGTAACTAGAGCCCCCTTACCTTGGTTGGTACTAGGATTCCAATGGGGTTGGTTGGATGGAAGCATGCTTTCAATGTGATATGCATTATCAACAGAGATTTCCCGTCTGAACCCAGGATGACTTTTTTAGCTTCCAAATTTATGAGGTCCCTTTCTTCTAAGGTGAAAAGGGTAGCCAGTAACTGTTAACAATCATTCCATGTGGGCTGGTAGCTATTAAAAACAGTCTCCAGGAGAGAGATGGGTGCTTGTGTGCCTGTGGTTTCTCAGAAGCAGGGAAGGAGGGTTCTGGGATTTCCAGTTGTACAGGTCACTGGAAGAGAAGGGAATATACCATAAATGGGGATGAGCTTCTCACTTGAATCCTTTGACTTAGTGAGTCTAGGGCATGCTGGAGGGGAAGAATGAAAGCCCAGGATGGGTAACCCTTCATCCAGAGACATAGGGTGGATGTAGTTCTTCCTCCTCTAGGTGGCTGGATAGAATGTTTGTTTTTGTTTTTTTCCCCTCTTCGAGGCTTAGTTACCAGAACCGTGATACTTTAAGGAAACAGGTCCTGAGTCATGGATGACATTGTTGTAATAAATTTAACCAAACATCTTTGTAGGGAAATAGATCAAGATAGACAGGATTTCTGGTGACAATAAGTCATGCTGCTTAGACATTTTGGCACACATATGTGCTTGCAGATGGCCATTTGATGTTGAAAGGGCCATTCTGATTCACAAAGGGTCTGGAGGCATTTTTTTTCAAAGAGTTGATTGTGTATTCCACCTTTCTGTCTTTATATGCCTCCTGGACACAGTGAAGGAAATGTTTCAAACAAGTGAACTGATTAGAAACAGAATTGCTTAGCTTAGTTTTCCAGATCTCAATTCACAATGACAACATATTCATCAGAAAAGATAGAGACAGACAGGGCAGAAATAAACAATACCAGTAAGGAAACAAATAAGGGTAGCCACCACACGCTCTTACACCTGAACAGACCAGGGGAATCTGGTGGTGTCTTACATGGATCCAGCCAGGTTCCAGCCCCCATCAAACACCAGACCATGACAGCTTCAGCCATATGGTTCTGGATTTAGAGTCAAGGATACAATAAAGGAATTATCAACTCTACCTCCTCAGCTAGGAAAAGCTGCTGAGGCCAGATGTGTGTCAAGGGTGTCCCTGCATGGAAGTCTAGAGTGGCCATTGCATGAAGCTGTGGAGTTGAAAGCTAGATTGTTTTGGAAACCCCAAGATGTTGGAGATGCCAGAGCTGTGGGATACCTGTCAAGGAGAGCTGTAGAGAAGGTATGGAACCAGCCCAAGAGAGAGAAGTGTGTTGTAGTCAACAAAGCTGGGAGGAGCTGGAGTTCTGAAGAGTGCTTTAACATCAGACATGGAGACGAAAAATTTGGAGTTTGCTGTGGTCATAATGGATAGCTTTGAAACCCCAGCTATCACATCCTCATCCAAAATGAGTATCTGTGGTAGTTTGAATGTAATTACCCCCCATAATCTCATAGGTATTGGCACTATTAGGAGGTGTGGCTTTTATGGAGTGGGTATGGTCTTGTTGGAGGAAGTGTGTCACTGTGGAGGCTGTTTGAGGTTTCCTATGCTTAGGATATCTCTCAGTGTCTCAGTCGACTTCCTGTTACCTATAAGATGTAGGACTCTCAGCTACTACTCCAGCACCACATCTGCCTGCATGCCACCATGCTCCCCACCATGATGAGAACGAACCAAAGCTCTGAAACTATTAGTGAGCTATCCCAGTGAAATGTTTTCATTTATATGAGTTGTCATGGTCATAGTGTCTCTTCACAGCATTAAAAACCCTAAGTAAGACAGTATCCTTAAGTAATATGGAGGCTCAACATTAACTGACTTGTATATAAATTAGCACATAAAGGATAGAGATGCACTGATAATGAAAATCCACCTAACTTGGAAAAAAATAAGAATGTTACCAAAGGATTGTAAATGTGGAAAAGATACGGTAGACGGAGACATTTGAAATGAGGTACTTGAGAGTCTAGTTAACAGAAAGTTGAAATGGATGAAACATGGATAATTTAAAGATAGAAATGAAAAGGAAACAAAAATGAAAAAAGGGTTGAAGTACTTCTTCAGCCAGGTTCCTCTTTTAAAATAGATAAGTACATAAGTATATAAATCTAATCTTATAAAACATAACAACAATATTGAACTGCTGGCATCTCCATCTCTAAAAAACATTAACCAAAAATGGGGAAGGGGTGATGGAGAGATTGCTCAATAGTTAAGAGCACCGACTGCTCTTCCAGGGGACCCAGATTTAATTCCTAGTCCCAACATGGCAGCTCACAATTGTCTGTTATTCCAATTCCAGACCAGGGGACTCAACATCCATGGCAAAACATCAATGTACATGAAATAAAAATAAATAAATATAAACAGAAACAGAACCTGCCTAGGAGGAAATCAGTTTCTGCATTCCAAAACCTCTTATCTGTAGTTGTCTGAAGAACCATTACCCGAGCATTCTTGCCAGGTATATATGGAGACCAAGTTATGCAAAGTCTGTGAATCCTTCAGGAAAAGCAACTACACAAACCTCAGACAGCAATCACTAACTATTTACAGAAGGTTCCATCAAAGCCCAGCTGACATCACTCTGGAATTCACACCAGATACAATGGTTCTGTTGACTCTTATGCTACAGTTTGCCCTGCTAGTTTTTAGTTTTGTTTTGGTCCAGTATTTCCTCACTATGCTCCTTTCCTTCCTCTTGGAATGGTAACATATATTCAGTGCCATCCTATATTGAAATATATGATCTGTTTTTTTTAGTTTGATTTTTCAGGTCATAGCTAAGAGATTGCCCTGAGTCTCAAAAGAGACTTTGGATTTTTAAAGTGTTGAGATGATGATAAACTATGGGGACTTTTGAAGTCAGACTGAATACATTTGTTATTTTCTTTGGGCCATCAACCAACTCCCAAATAACAACATGGAGACTTACTATTAATTATTAATAAGCCTTAGCTTATACTTGTCCCACCAGCTCTTTTAACTTAATGTAGTTTGTTTCTATTTATCTACATTTTGCTTCAGGGTTTTTTATCTTTTTTTTTCCAGACAGGAGTTTTCTGTAGTTTGGAGCCTGTCCTGGAACTAGCTCTTGTAGATCAGGCTGGCCTCGAACGCACAAAGATCCACCTGCCTCTGCCTCCCGAGTGCTGGGATTAAAGGCGTGCGCCACCACCACCTGGCACCTTTTTTTTCATTCTGTATGTCCTACTTTCCTGCTTTCTTGGTGTCTGTCTGTCTGTCTGGCTCCCAACATCTCCCTGGCATTCCCTTTTCTTTCTTCTTTACTTAAACATAAAGTCCTCCTTCTACTTACTCTCTCAGCCTGGAAGTTCCCCTGTATACCTCCTCCCTTGCTATTGGCCATTCAACTTTTTATTAGACTAATTAGGTGCCTAAGGCAGCCAAGGTAAAACAGCAATGCATCTTTACATAATTAAACAAATGCAACATATCTTTACATACTTAAACATACTTACACAATATAACTAAATGCAACACATCTTACTTACTTAAACAATATTCTGCAATATAAATAAATGCAACACATCTTTGCATTTGCATTCACAACAACTAAATGCACTTTTGCTTTATGATATGACTAGAAGCCAGTGGGAGTGGGCTGTGAGCTTTCAAAAGCCCATGCCAGGCCCAGTCAGTCTCTCTCTCTTTCTGCCTGTGGATCAGGATGTAGCTCTCAGTTACTGCTCCAGGACCACCATGCTCCCTACCATGATGATAATGGACTAAGTGTCTGAAACTGTAAGCAAGTCTACAATTAAATGCTTTTATCTTATAAGTGTTGCCTTGGTAATGGTGTTTCTTCACTCAACTGTGTAGTGGAGTCCCCTATATAGTTTTAGATGAAAGTCTTTTGTGGCATGTGTGTTTCACAAATATATTCTTAAAGCCTGTGTCTTAATTTTTCTTTTTTATCAAGTTCTATATAGAAGTGTTGACATTTTAAGAACCCCAACTTACTAGTTTTTTCTTCATAGTTCATGACTTGGCATTATATTATTTATTTATCTGGCCTTTTGGAAAGTGGTCTCAGGTTGCCTAGACTGCCCAAGACTTGTTATAGAGCTGCAGATGCCCTTGGATTCTGATCTTCCTGTCTTTGTCTCCTATGTGCTAGTATTGTAAGCTTGTGCCTCCACACCAGGCCTGATTTGTTTGTTTTGTTATCAGTATCAAGGACATTTTCCTTTTCTTAAGGATACTTCCTGGAATGTGCTCCTGCTGCTTTTGAACAGATCCAGAATGACTGAATCTGCCTAGAATATCATTTTCAGGCAATAGTGATATCCACTATACTTATGCTCCAAGCTTTTGCAAAATCTGAAAAGTGTCTGACCATAGCTTCATAATCTCTGCTTGACAAAATTACTGTGTTACCCTGCTGGCACTGCTACCGACATGCCCAGAATATTTAACTAAGCAGAGTTCCATGCTGGAAAGAGCTCCCTGACTAGTGTGGTAAGTTAGCAGGTCTCCAGCCCATTACTGGAAATGATTACAGCCCTATTTGTCTCTTTTCTTTGGTGTGGGGAATCAAATGGGGGATTTGAACATGCCAAGGCAAGCTTTCTATGTCTCAGCTATATCGCCAGCCCTCTTTTTACTTTCTTTCTGCTTTTTAACTTGGAGGTGGGTACAGTCTGACCTTTAACTGGCCGCATAACACTGCTGTCTTTTTACTTGTATCCCTTCTTCTGTGACCTCCTTAGTACTGCAAGGCCTGTACCTGCCAAACTGGGTGTTCATCCTGGGTAAGTAAACATGATATATTTTCTCTTGCCAGCCTGTGTAGCTGAGGCAGAAGCCAGTCAAGTGTGGTGTGAGGAGAGAAAGAGATGGTTGACGTGGGCCAAACTGTGTGATTCTCTTCCCTGGCAGCTTACCCAACCATTAGATTATTTGTGAAACCATCTACAGTGAGAAATGATGAAGAGGAACATATTATATGTGAGCTAGATGGATTCTACCCAGAAGCCTTTAGCATAAAGTGGGGGAAGTATACCCTGAAGGATTCCCAGTTCCAAGAAATTACTGAGGGCCATGTCACCGGTCCCACGCTGAAGAATGATGATGGCACATTCAATGTTTCCAGCTACTTGACTCTGAAGCCATCTCTGGAAGACCGTGGGACTACCTACCAGTGTGTGGTGTTGCACAGATCCTTGCTTGTCCCCAAGAGGCTCAATGTCACACTGTCTGAGGAAGGTAAGTTGCCTCCCATGTCCTTCCCACCAAGGACATGAGACTAGAAACTTGGGATTCTGAGAAGTCTGGGATCTTTCCTAGGGAAGGAGGGGGAGTTGGGGTCTAGTTCAACCCAGACCCTGGAGTCAGCAGTCCAGATTTATATCCTGTACCTGGGATAGTAGTCCAGAAATAGAAGAGGAGATAGCATCATCAGGGCTCAGGACTGCATTAGAGTTTGGATTGTTCCCACGGTGGTGGGTAGAAAGCTTTCCAGATCTTTGGAGACCAGGGCCAGCATCATCTTCTGAGGATAACAGTCCAGGGACCAGCCCTGCCAGCACCCTTTCTAGTCAGGGTATGGGTTCCCATCAGAGACTGTTGGATGTTTAAATTCAATCTGTAGTTCTTTCCTGTTTGTTGAGTGTCAAGATGAGGGAGTGACAGAAGCTGACCCCGATGATGGCTAAGGTTTCCTACAGATACACCAAACTCTTAGGCTAACACAGTACTGCAGATATGATTTTCTTGGAAGGGGAAGTTTTGAGCTCATATCCTGGGCTTCCCTGATTGTGGCTCTGGTCTTTGGTGGGGTTGACCCTGTTAATGAAACACATCTCCACCAAAGATCCCAAAGGTAAGGGATGAATAGGGTCCCAGGAGGATGTGATAGGTGTGTCTGCCAGGTGAGCTGTGGATGTTTCTTCAAGGAGATGGATTGTTCTTAGAGTAAGGACTAGAAGCATGTGTGGGTGTAAATCAAATAGGTTCTATGTGTTCAATTTTTGTCCGGGTGTACATGATATTATATGATGTAGTCTAGAACTCATGAATCTGTGTGACAGATTGTCTTTGATATTACTTAGACCATGTTTTATATCTCATATATATCTTCCTCTCTTTTCTACCTTTTTCCACTTCTTTTTTCCTTTTGCGTTTATTTATGTTTGTATATGTATATGTGTGGGGACATGCATCATGGTACATGTGTGGATGTCAGAGGACAACTTTGTAGAGTCACTTCCCTCCTTTTGTGGATAGGAGGGACCCAATTCAGTCACCTTAGCCTACTGAGCCATCTCACAGGCCTTGAATGTGTTATGTTGTCTAGGATGATCTTGAACTGCTGATCCTCCAACTTTCACCTCCAGAAGGCTGGAATCATAGGCATGTGCATGTCACCATACCTGGCTTTATGCCAGTGCTGAGACTTAAACCCAAGGTTTTGTGCATGTCAGGCAAACACTCTACCAATGGAACTACATATCCATCCTCCATATTTTTTAAAATATATTTTTATTAATTAATTATTTTTTTCCAGCCTGATCACAGTTATCCCCCCTCCCTATTCTCCTCCAAGTGCCTCACATAACCTCCTTCATTTACTCCTCCTTCCTCTTCAGAAAAGGGCATGTATATCAGCCTCCATGTATATCAGCCGGCCATGGTATGCCAAGTTTCAGCAAGATTAGGCACCTTCTCTTTTATTAAGGCTATACCAGACAGCTCAGCAGGAGAAAAGGGTCTCAAAAGCAGGTAACAATCAGAGCCAGCTCCTGCTTCCAGTATTAGGAGATCCATAAGAAGACCAAACTACACAACTGTCTCACATAAATGCATTAGACTTAGGTCAATCCCATGACCTGGTTGGCAGGTCAGTCTTTGTGAATCCCAATGAGCCCAGGTTAATTGATTCTGTAGTTTTCTTGTGGTGTCCTTGACCCCTCTGCCTTTCGTAATCCTTCCTTCCCTTCTTGCATAGGGTTTCCCAAGGTCTGCCTAAGGTTTGGCAGTGGGTCTCTCCATCTGTTTTGGTCTGTTGCTGGGTGAAGTCTCTCTGATGACAGTTGAGCAAGGCAACAATCTATAAGACAACAGAATATCATTAGGAATCATTTCCTTGACATTTTTTCCAGTCATGTTTGGTTTGATCCTAGGTCTCTGGGCTATCTAGCCTCTGGATCCTGACCCGCCCCAGGCAGGGTCAGGGCGAGCGCTTTTGTAGTATGGGTCTCAAACTGGACCAGTCATTGGTTGGCCATTCCCATAATTTCTGCACTACTTTTACCCCAGTATATTTTATAGGCAGGACAAATTGTAGGTCAAATGTTGTGTGACTGGGTTGGGGTCCCAATCCCTCCACTGAGAGTTTTGCTTGGTTACAGGAGATGGCCAGTTCAGGCTTTCTATTCCCCATTGCTAGGAGTCTTAGCTAGCTAGGGTCACCCCCATAGATTCCTTGGAGTCTCTAAGGCACTAAGGGTTACAGTCCACAAGATTATATAGTGAGATTTCAATTGTCAATTTAGACGACAACACACGGAAATACACATTCTGATGGAGACAAGCTCAGATGCAAGGTGTTCGCAATACTGTCCTTTGAATGGTGGCTTCTCTTGCTGTAAATCCCTTGTGAAGACATATAGTGGGGCTTGTCCCAAAACCTTCAGCAGTGTATTAGTCAATTATTGGGCGTAATTTCTCCTATGTGCTGGGATATATGGTGACTTTTTCCCACACTCTGGGACCCTGGTCACACAGTCAAAAACCTTTGTTCCCATAGTCAAATCTCTGTTTCATTCCCTGATGCAAACTTATAAGTCTGATGCAAACCCACAATTATCTTTAATGGCAGGACATTTGGCTAGCAAAAGAGTCCTTCAAATATAGCTTGTTTGGAACCTGCACAGATATGCCCAGGACAAAAACTATGTTATGTCTCAGTTTGTTGAGTCATAGCCCTCCCAGTTAAGATTTATCTGCGCCCTGGATTTATACAGGGTAGTATGGGATATGGACATGGGAAATATGCAACCCCAGTTAACCCCACTCTAACCCTAATAACCTAAATCCTAGATTATTAACCCTAAGGCTATTAATACTCCATACTTACTTTCACCTCAGTTTATTGATACAAGATCTTAGTGTATGAAATCAACTGTTTGTGTCTTAACCCCAAAAGATATCAAGAAAAGGTTATTGATCAGTTGACCAGCTCCAGAGAAAAGTAATCCTTTTCACACAAGCGCCATGGAAACAAACATCACCATTGGCCCTGGGTGGCTTGAAGATGTCAGGTCCTGTATTTTTTTAACCACATAACTATGATTACCTTTTGTTCTTTTTTTAATTTTAAATATTTTTTTATTTTTATTTTTCCATTCAAAAATTTCCACTTCTTCCCCTTCTCCCATTCCCCTCCCACTCCCCCACTTGCCCTCCTCCCTCCCCCACCAGTTTTAAGAGAGGGCAAGTTACCCTGCTCTGTGGCAAGTCCAAGGCCCTCCCACCTCCATCCAGGCCTGGTAGTCCCAGTAGACTAGGTTTTCAAAAAGCCAGTTCATGCAGTAGAAACAAGTTCCAATGCCTTTATCAATGGCTTCTCGGTCAGCCCCCATTGTCAGTCACATTCAGAGAGTCCGGTTTGATCACATGCTCGTTCAGTCCCAGTCCAGCTGGATTTGGTGAGCTCCCATTAGATCAGGCACATTGTCTGGGTGGGTGGACGAATGCCTTTCGGTCCTGACTTCTTTGCTCATATTCTCCCTCCTTCTGCTCTTCAACTGGACCTTGGGAGCTCAGTCCAGTGGTCTGATGTGGGTCTCTGTCTCTATCTCCATCCATTGCCAGACGAAGGTTCTATCTTGATATTTGAGATATTCATCAGTGTGACTATGGGACAAGGCCAGTTCAGGCATCCTCTCCTCTACTGCCAAAGGACCTAGCTGGGGAAATCCCCGTGGACACCTGGGATCCCCTCTAGAGCCAAGTCTCTTGATAACCCTAAAATGGTTCCCTTAATGAAGATATCTCCTTCCCTGCTCCAACATCTGCCCTTCTTCCATCTCAACCCTCCCACTCCCCCAAGCTCTCCCCAAACCTTCCCTTCTCCCTTCTCTCTCCCACTCTCCCCTTTCCCCAACCCCACCCCCATGCTCCTAACTTTTGCCCAACGATCTTGTCTGCTTCCAATTTCCAGGAGGATCTATATATGTTTTTCTTTGGGTTAACCTTATTATTTGGTATCTCTAGGCTTGTGAACTATAGGCTCAATGTCCTTTGTTTATGGCTAGAGTCCACTAATGAATAGGTACATACCATATTCATCTTTTTGGGTCTGGGTTACCTCATTCAGGATAGTGTTTTCTATTTCCATCAATTTGCATGCAAAATTCAAGATGTCATTGTTTTTTTTACAGCTGAGTAGTACTCTAATGTATATATGTTCCACATTTTTAAAAAATATCTATTCTTCCATTGAGGGGCATCTAGGTTGTTTTCAGATTCTGGCTATTACAAATAATGCTGCTATGAACATAGTTGAATAAATGCTTTTGTAGTATGATTGGGCATCTCTTGGTATAGTCCCAAGAGTGGTATTGCTGCATCCTGAGGTAGATTGACTCCCAATTTCCTGAGAAACTGCCACACTGATTTCCAAAGTGGTTGAACAAGTTTGCATTCCTACCAGCAATGGATGAGTGTTCCCCTTACTCCACATCCTCTCCAGCAAAGGCTATCATTGGTGTTTTTGATTTTAGCCATTCTGACAGGTGTAAGATGGTATCTCAGAGTTGTTTTGATTTGCATTTCCCTGATCACTAAGGAGGTTGAGCATGACCTTAAGTGTCTTTTGGCCATTTGAACTTCTTCTGTTGAGAATTCTCTGTTCAGTTCAGTACCCCATTTTTTAAATTGGGTTATTTAGAATTTTAATGTCTAGTTTCTTGAGTTCTTTATATATTTTAGAGACCAGACCTTTGTCTGATATGGGGTTGGTGAAGATCTTCTCCCATTCAGTAGGCTGCCTTTTGGTCTTAATGACAGTGTCCTTTGCTTTACAGAAGCTTCTAAGTTTCAGGAGGTCCCATTTATTCATTGTTGCTCATATTGTGTGTGCTACTGGGGTTATATGTAGGAAGTGGTCTCCTGTGCCCATGTGTTGCAACCTACTTCCCATTTTCTCTTCTATCAGGTCAGATTTATATTGAGGTCTTTAATCCATTTAGACTTGATTTTTG